TTTTATCACAATAATAATATTATTGTAATGCTTACTCTATTATTTGAGATAAATGATTACTAAAAAGACTAACATAAAAACAGTATTTATTATAAAATATGAATATGAATTATAATTTTAATATGCACAGTCTATCGTGAAAGCATACGTTGCTATAAAATTAAAATATATTTAAACAATGATAATTATTATAATAACTGTTATTGATATTATTACTAACGACACCTTTCAAAAAAAAATTCACACGTAAATCCAGCGGCTGCTGATCTTAGTACAGAATGAAACGCCAGTCGAGCATGATAGTGACAGCTTTCGTGACGAGCGAACCAAAAGATTAACAATAGATTCCCTCCCAGTTCTGGTTATAGATCTCTCACAAACGATTTATTATATATTTTCTTCTTCTTTATTGCAATAATGTGATAATAATAATCTGAGTAGGTAATGCATTATTTGCTTTATTTTCTGGATATATTATGTAGGTACCTACCTAAACCTGTTATTATACGTATATGGTGGATAATATTATTCGTCCATGATGAGACCAGCAAACTCAATATTGTTAAATATTATCTAATATCGATTTATTAGTATTTTTTTTCATAATTCTTAAGTGCTGAACAATACAATTTTTTTGTATGTCATATTGATACATTTAATTCATTGTAATTAAACATAAACAAGTTGTTGTGCACTTTCTTAATCACTGCGATCACTTTTTTTTCTCGTTTATGTTCTTGATGACAGATCTACAGCTTGGAGCTTTGTCTAAATCTTCCTCTGATTTTAACGTATAGGTGAATGATGATTTAAACACGTAAATTGAGTAAAATATTTATAAAATAGTTGATCAATCTTATTTTGTAAAAATTACTTTCTATTAAAAAAAAAAAATTAAATTAATATATTATGAAAAACATCTGATACTTTGTATTGTTACTGAAAAAGCATAATACTATGTAGGTAATTTTAACTTTATAAAACGTATTTGCTCCAAATCCTAAAAGTTTACTTAGTAAAATGTTTTATTGTATATATAAGCATGTTTAAAATGAGAATCCCGTACACTTAAATATAAAGAGAAAATAGTGATTTGAGCAACATAATATTGCGATAATTTGACAGTCATGACAAGCAAATAGACAGACTTCATAATATGCATGTATATACCTAATAATAATATGACTGTAATATTATGTACGGATGAGTCGATAAAAAATATATATTATGCGCTGAGCCACTATTTACAGTACTGATGAAAATATTTTATCACAAGATAATGTCGATTCGTTATTTATATTATTATCAATTATTATAAAAATATAAATTATATTTGTATTTAATGTCCAACGATATTAAAATTAAATTATGCAGTATGACATGTAATAATATTTCAGTGAACTTCGTCCGCCATTTTGCGATAGTCAAATTCTTCAAATTGTGTTTTATTATGAACAACCATCGTTGTTATTTTTCGCATTCGAAATGACTCATTTTCTATTCGCTTCGAACGGCGATTGTGCGAAATTTAATTTTAATAAATAATCTACTTATACCCGCGTTTAATAAAATACACAAACGTTTTGTGAACCCTTGTGTATTTTTCTTCATTTTTTTTCATATCTCTCTCACTCACTGTCACTCACTTCCTCTTTTATTCTCATCGCGTATTTGAAATGACGAGCAAACAACGATATCGGATGGAAGTTTTATAATAATAAAATAATAATAATATATTATGTACACATAACTTTTGTTGAATAATAATATTGTTCACGTCATGTTGAAGTTTTCCAAGTCAAAAATGTGTTGTTATTTTATTATCACAAATCGACATTCATTTCGGATCTATATATTATATTCTTATATCATTGACGTAGCTGGCAGTTTTATTGTTGAATTTTACAGTTCACATATTATTATTGTTAAACCACGTGATAAATAAAAATTTTAAATTTTTGTTAAAAAGAAAAAAAAATGGAATATCATATTTTGACGACCATGCGTAAAATACGTATTTTATTACATCTCAGTAATAGGCTTTTGCCAGAAATAATACGAATTTAATGTTGATTAATATGATATAATATTTGAACAAAATTTCAACCATGTTACGTAATAAGTGTATAATATGATATTAGCTGTATTATATTGATACTTTATCTTAATAATAAAAAACGCTATTTTAACGAAAACATTGTCASGTTGATATGATAATATTACATTGGTAGCTAATTTATTATTGKTTAATAAAATTATAAGTATTGTGTATGGATCAAGATAAAAATTGTGTTCAGCGCATTCTGGTTGATAATCATAAATATCTGGGCGAAGAAAAGCAACCTGGGATATCGGCATTTGCCAGGGGCCTCATTAATCATTTTCCGTATTTACGTAAGAACAAAAATTCTAAATTTAAAAACACTAATACATGCAAACGAGAATATCGATTATAAACCTAAAAAAAAAAAAATACGAGCAATAAATTACTAGTGGCACGCAAAATTACGTAAGTGCCATCTCGAACCAAAAACTTACGCTGAGTGATTTATCCACTATTCTCGGTATCGATTTGTTGCCCATATGGTTTTGTTCATAACAGATTTATCACGTAATTTGCAATTTATTCAACCATTTATATTATGTTACATAAAGTATTATACATCATACATGATACAAACATTAAATTATATAATTTAATATATGAAATAATACAATTTAAGAATACAATTAGTGTTTGTTTTATTGTGTATATATTTTAAATACTATTTAAGGATGTTAAATGATACAAATCATTGATACTATTTTATTGTCTAAAAATAATTAAATCATTCGTAAATATTTAGCGAAGGTACCTCTATTAAATAATTACCTACACAAAAATTTTTAAAATGTTTTACGTGCAATCATCCATGTTTTAATTAAATTTACTGGCCAACTCATGTCAATAAAATATTAATAATAAAAAAAAAATTCTATATAACATGAAGAGTGATGGCTCGAAATATTTAAATAATTATAATATGATTAATATAAAATTGTAATATTAATATAAAAAATCTAAATAAATAATTAAATTACAACAATATGTGTTCACCAGCCAAACTAGAAAATCACCTGAATTAATAGCCACTTAAGGTTAAAATCCATAATATATAATTATTGAGTTTGAGCACAAATCAAATAAACCCGGTGTTGCGCTGATTTGTTTTTGTACAGGTTGATTCACCAAGCATTGTCACATTTTTTTCATTAATAATAAAGTTATTCAAAATTTGATTTTTGGAAACTTTAAAAACCATATTTTCAAATTCTTGAAATTTTTCGTATCACATAAGGAGTGTCTTGTGGTGATACAAAATTTTGTTTTTCAAATGATAACCCCCCCCCTCCCCCAAATTTTTATTCCATAAATAAATAAATATTTATCTGATTAGTTCAAATTATTGTAATAACTCAAAAATAGAAAATAAATAAAGTGCAATATTTAGTCTAACTATAAATATAAATTGAACAACTAAGGCTTCTGCCAATAGTTATACTAAAATTAAGTTAATTTTCGTATAATTAGAGAGATTTGATGATGATTTGATATCCTACTTTGATATCTCTACTCRTATAAGAGCTGGAGAATATGACAACAGATATTGAATTAAAATATCTAAATTTGAGTGATCTCGAGTTCATAATTCGAAAATATGATCAAGTACACATAAAATATTTATAAATTAAAGAAATTAATATAGATAATATATAATATAATATATATATAACTAAGTACTATCAGTTTTTTTTATGTAAAACTAAATGGTTATAATTTATAATTTATAAAGCTATATTAGCTATATTGGTATTCAAGTCAATATATTATTTGATATTTAATTTGAAAGGTTTGATTTACCTTTCAATGCATCAAAATTTTCAAAAAAATTANTTAGATTAATAACTGATAGGTACCTATAAACTTACTGTAATACTAATATATAAATATGTTTTGTATTCATTGGGGGGGGGGTTCATTTTAAAAACAAAAGTTTTTATTGCCACGTACACTCCTAAGTGATACAAAAAATTTCCGGAATTTAAAAATATGGTTTTTGATTATATTTAAAAATTCCAAAAACCAGATTTTGAATGATTTCATTATTAAAGAAAAAAGGAAGTAAGCGTAAATGGTGAATCACCATATATAAGTATAAGATATCTTCTATATATAAAAATGGAGACAAAAAATTCGAAATTGCATCAGTTGAGAACGGCTGGGCCAATTTGGCTCAAATTTTTTTAAAATGATAGTGAATGTCGGGGAGCGGGTTTATAGCATAAATTATGGACCTAACTCCTGTGAGTTAGAGATTTAGAGACAAAAACTGAGTTACACCGGTGGCGCCCTTTAGCAGATAAAAGTATAAATAAAAATATAATATAAATAATAATACAAATATCGATAATAGCAGGGCTTGATATAAATTATTAAATATTAAATATTAAATATAAATTATTAATTATTAAATATTAAATCGATAAAAATCGAAAAAAAAAAATATTTTTATATTCTGGTTGATATACATTTTTATTATAGACACTTAGAACTTTAGAGTAAAATAATAATAATAATAGTTGGCACATTATTCATTTTATTTTGARACATTATCGTTTTATGTTATTTATGAATTTTTTCAATCAAAAACGACTATTGTTTTTTGGAGAGAATTTTTATGCTTGAATCATGCCTCCTATGAGAAGAACAAACATTGGACGGCGTACACGTAATGCAAGAAACATTAATGAATTTAGACGTGCTCATAATACACAGGCCCGTGATGCACAAACGTCGCCTCAAATTCGACAACATGTTAATATAAGAAGAAGTTCAGATGCAGTCTTGAATCGCGCTGCTTTCGAATACGATTCCGCAGTCGCTTACAAAGATCTTTTGGTGTTGATATCGGCTCATTATATATCGTATGCCAGCATTGCAAGGCATTGAAGTTTCGATTGGAAACCCCCGGCTTATGTTGCGCTGGTGGCAAGGTTAAATTACCAGTTTTAGCTCAACCACCAGAGCCATTGTATTCGTTTCTCTATGGAARTACAATCCAATCAAAACATTTTCTGGCGAATACACAAAAATATAACGGAAGTTTTCAAATGACGTCATTTGAGCAGAAGTTATTGAACAACCAGGCTACAACCCGAGTTATAAGGAAAAGGCGTTTGTAATAATAACACATTTTTTTTTTTACAAATGACCATTTAAATATTCAGATTCAAGGACAAATTCACCATCGAGCAGGCGCTTTGTTACCACAACCAAACGAAGATCATAAGTTCCTTCAGATATATTTCGTTGGTAATTCGGAAAATGAACTAGAACAGCGGTGTGCAATTTTTCCTGCGAATAAACGTGAAATAATCGGASAATTKYAAATTCTTCTGCATGAGCATAATCAATTGGTCAGAATGTTCACAACCGCATTGGACACAATGCATTCTGACGACCACAAAATCATTATCAGAGCAGACAAAAGACCCTCTGGAAGCCATGAAAGACAATTCAATGCTCCCACTATCAATGAAGTCGCAGTGGTGATTGTTGGCGAAAATGTGGCATCACGCGATATTGTTCTTAAGCGTCGCGATGGTGGACATTTGCAGCGCGTGTACGAGACTCATCGGTCATATGATGCACTTCAATACCCGTTGATGTTCTRTCGAGGAGAGGATGGCTATCACTTAAATATAAAGATGGTCAACCCAATGACAGGTTTGWTTACAGGTCATCATTTCTTTTTCATACTATAACTAAGTTTGAATTCATATTTYAGGAKAAGAAACGAATAAAAATGTCAGCTCAATGAATTTTTATGCATATCGATTGATGATTCGACAAGATGTTGACAATCATCTATTGAGATATCGCCGGTTGTTTCAACAGTAATGCGTCGACATGTACGTCAAGGTCGAAACGGAGCGCCTCAATTTCATTCGCTTCAATCAGTCACAGTTCGATCAGACGAGTACATCCACTTGCGTGATGCCATCGCTACCGAAGGAGACGCGGCCAACATTGGTCGTATGACTATTCTCCGGGCTACTCAAATTGGAAGCCCGCACCACATGCATGATTATGCTCAAGATGCGATGACGTAAGTGCGGAGTTACGGACGACCTGATTTGTTCATCACGTTTACTATTTCAATCCGAAATGGCCCGAAATTACAAATCAGTTGCTGGCAGGACAAACACCAAGTGATCGATATGACATCACTGCACGAGTATTCAAACAAAAGATCGTAGTACTCATGAATTACATCGTTAAGSAGAAGGTCTTTGGCGCAATCCGTTGTTGGATGTACTCGGTTGAATGGCAGAAGCGTGGTTTAYCACATGCGCACATTCTGCTTTGGATGTTTGACAAGGTCCGACCAGATCATATTGATTCGATCATTTCTGCCGAAATACCAGATCCAGAAACAGATCCTGAGCTGCATTCTGTTGTGACCACGAACATAATACATGGCCCTTGCGGAACTCAGAATCCTGGGTCACCATGCATGCAAAACGGAAACTGCGTTTTCCGCGTCCGTTTGTGGCTGACACAATCAGTGGAATCGACGGATAACCATTGTTTCGGCGTCGTTCTCCAGATTACAACGGCAGATCAATCATAATGAAAGTCAAGGGAAAAGATGTCGTCGTCGATAATCGCTGGATCGTTCCATATTGTCCACTTTTGTCGAAAACGTTCTCAAATCACTGCAATGTTGAGTATTGCAACTCCATAAAATCTATCAAATATGTTTGCAAATATGTGAACAAAGGGAGTGACATGGCTGTGTTTGGCATTGCTGATCCAAATGCAAACGATGAGGTGAAATTTCAACTTGGACGTTACGTGAGTTGTAATGAGGCAATTTGGCGGCTGTTTTCATTTACAATTCATGAGCGTCACCCGACTGTCGTACATTTGGCAGTTCGCTTAGAGAACGGCCAGCGTGTATAGTTTACGGAAGCGAACGCAGCGCAAAGAGCAGAACGACCACCAGCGACGACATTGACAAATTTTTTTTCGACATGCGCAAGCGATCCGTTCGCGAGGACTTTACTATATTCGGAGATGCCACGCTATTATACATGGAACGCTGCATCAAAGAAGTTTCAACGCAGGAAGAAAGGTGATGCTGTTGCTGGCTTCGCAGATGTCTATTCGACTGATTCCCTCAGACGAATATACACAGTTCATCCACGCCAAGACGAATGCTTCTATCTTCGCTTACTTTTGGTGAACGTTAGGGGCCCGACATCCTTCAATTCCCTGCGTAATGTCGATGGTGTACTGTGCACAACTTTTCGGGAAGCTTGCCAATGCTTGAATTTGCTCGAAAACGATTCACATTGGGACTTAACACTCGCCGATGCAACCGTTTCTGCGCCAGCAAATCAAATTCGTACGATGTTTGCGATCATCATAGCCACATGTCATCCATCGAACCCGAATGCATTGTGGGAGAAATACAAGGACGAGATAGTTGATGACATTTTGCACAAAGTTCGAACGACAAATTTTAAATTTGATATTGAAAGTAATGACGAGATGCGCAACGAAGCATTAGTTCTGATCGAAGACATGTGCGGCAGTCTGTTGTCAACTTTGGGAATGCCAGCGCCAAATCGTTCTAGGCACGCTGCATTCAATCTTGAATTACAGCGGGAGAAAAACTATGATCTAGATGAGCAGGCTGAAAGAGTCCGAAAAAATATGCCGCTGTTGAATGTATACGATTTGATGATGATCAAATGGTTTTTGATGATGGAACGGGAGGCATTTACTTTCTCGGTGCTCCTGGAGGGACAGGCAACAATTCGGTCAAGATCACTAATTGCGTTGGCTGTCACATTCTCTGGCATTTCTGCCACATTGTTGGAAGGCGGTCGAACTGCATATTCAGCTTTGAAGCTGCCAATGAATCTTCTCATGGTTGACAAGCCTACGTGCACAATGACCAAGAATTCAGCGACAGTGAAATTGATGCGAGAATGCAAAATCATCATTTGGGATGAATGTACGATGGCACATAAACTAGCTTTGGAGGCAGTTGACCGAACGATGAAAGATTTACGAGGTAATTCGAAACTATTTGGTGGGGCAATGAGATTTTCGTTAAACACTTCACGTCATTCCGAAATCTACTTCTGCCGATGAAATTAATGCATGCCTGAAATCGTCGTTTTTGTGGCGGCATGTCAAAAAGTTGAAATTGACCACGAACATGAGAGTTGCGTTGCAAAACGACCCATTGGATGCTGAATTCTCGAGACAACTGCTGGCGCTTGGTAATGGACACATTCCAATTGATGTTTTGACTGGATTAATATCATTTCCGGCAAATTTTTGTGAGTTCACATCGTCGAAGGAAGAACTCATTACAAAAGTGTTCCCAAGCATTRAGGTCAATTATAACAATCTTGATTGGATGAGTGAACGGGCAATACTAGAAGCGAGGAATAAGGACGTCGATAGCTTGAATTTTACAATTCAGAGTAAAATTGCTGGAGAACTGCGTCCATACAAATCCGTTAACAGCACGACTGACGATAACGAAGCAGTCAACTATCCGACAGAACTTTTGAACTCGCTTGATGTGCCAGGACTCCACCGCATAATTTACAGGTAAAAGTGGGATCGATCATAATTATGTTGCAGAATCTAAATCCTCCTAAATTGTGTAATGGTACACGATTGTCCGTCAAGAAACTGATGAACAATGTAATACAATCAACGATCATCAAGGGCGATTTCAAAGGGGAGGAAGTCCTTATCCCACGAATTCCGATCATTCCAACAGATCTTCCATTTCAGTTTAAGCGGATTCAGTTTCCCGTTAGATTGGCTTTTGTGATGACAATCAATAAATCGCAAGGCCAATCGTTGGAAGTCTGTGGGATCAATTTGGAATTTCCATGTTTTTCGCACGGGCATCTGTACGTTGCCAGTTCGCGTGTTGGAAAACCGTCATCGTTGTTTATTTTTGCACCAGAAAACAAAACAAAAAACATTGTTTATCAAAATGCAATATATTGATTTCTGTAACAATTCATTACAATGGAATACTTGAATTTTATTATTAATCTAGACTTTATTTGAAGGCGTTAAGTTCACCGGGTCAACTTAATTTAAAAAAAAAAAAATAGGCAAAACAACGTTTGCCGGGTCAACTAGTTGGATATAATTATTGAAGTCATATAGGTAATATTACGAGACTGCATATTTTTATCTTATTCAACATAATATTATACTGAGTTAATTTATACTTACTTTAATTAGAAATAAAATTGAACCGAAGTTACACTAAATAAGAGTTAGTATATGCAGTGGTTTCACGTTGCATTCTTCACTATATACGATCCGGAACATAGTTTAAACTAGCAACAGTGCATTACAACACTACTCAACATACTGTTTGCCAATCTTCGTGGTTAATTTATAATAATATGGGTTGAGATAATATTGACTATATCTACCTATTTGTAGTCAACGATTAATTTTGATGTAATTCAAAATAAGATAGTAATAGTTTAATTTTGACAATTATTGAGCTTCAAATTTTAGAGCAGACGTTACCATTTATTAAAATCAACTAATTAAAATAATTAACCAAACTCGAAAAACAATAATTTATTAATATTTAAAGTATATTAAATAGAATTTGAACATTAGCAGTTCATAACATTTATTTTGTTTTAAAATCACACCACATTAATATATATATATATATAATAAATAGTGTTATTGTGAAAACGTTTAGACTTATAGGCACATAATACTTTATTTTTATCATTTTAACTATTTCCACTATTAATGTGTACATTTTGAAATTTATTTTTCATTTAAAAATTTAATGTGCATCTATATTTCTTATTTTTCTGATTTTTACAGATTTTTAAGACGTTCAAAATTTGAATTGTTGGTAGACAGTTATAATGATTTGTCATAATCAATAATATAATGATTAAAAGTTGTCATTGTATATGTAATAAGTTATTGCTGACTTAATAATGATTTTCGTAATTTTTGATTTAAAGAGTCTTAACTTTTAAATATATTATTAATTATACGAATATTCATACGTTGATGAACGCTGAAATCGTAATTAAAAAGTACCGATATATTAGAATCGAGAAAATGGCAGTCTCCACTAAATAAACTCTGCAAAATGTATCTCAGTAATTTATAATGTACGGTTCATTAAAATTAAAGAAATGTTTTCACACTAATTCCCCGAAAGCTTAACTTAAGATTACTTAACGGACACTTATTACAAATGCCAAGAGTCTTCTTGTTTGAAACTCCTAAAAACCCATAGAACTATTTTTGCTTGTAACTCATTAACCATACGTTTTATTGCTGAAAATCACTGTAAAAAGCACACGGTTCCATATTTAAATTATTGCCTAGGTTTTATCTTCGTAATGTAGCAATAATTATTAATATCAAATAAAATTTATATTTTATTTACGAAAAAGAAACAAAAAATACTGTGAAATTACAGTGTTTTATATTAGGCGTCGTGTGACTACATTAAAATTGAGTAGGTCACAATAATGTATGTCATAAAAATAAAACAGATTAAATTTTCTCGTACAACCTATGTATCTATATTTCTATAATTATTATTTTATTTTTTGATTAATAATATTTTAGTAAATTTAACTAATTTTTTGCCAAAATTTAGCCATCTAATATAATATATTTACCAAGATGGTATACTATCTAACTGTTATTAAATAAAAGGTAAGTGTATACCTATGTAGGGTATTTCGCAACGGACTGTATGTTTGTGGTATGAATGGAATAAAATTAATTAAAATATTGTGAATAATAGTAATATATGTGACGGCACCGAGTAATCAATCTATATTACGAATAGTTACCAAAAT